AAGTTAGTCTACACATAGTCTTCAGCAATCAGTCAATGGTCTTTTTTAAAGTTCCTAGAAGAATCTGACTCCACGGGTAGTTTCTACCCAAAATAAACAGTGAATCTCTCTATCTACCTGTCTCCAGTTTTTAAGGTAGTGCCCTATTCTACTACTTCAATTCTCTGACAGATCTGAGAAGAGTTGTTGATTTTCAGTGTGTTGAGGGCTTTTACTTGCGTGAAAATGGAGAGCCAGGCCCCAAGCTCCTTACATGTTAGACCAGAAGGTGGAAGTCTCTGTCCATGACTCCCTGTCATTCCCCACCACTCACTCTCTTGCTTACTCTGATACAGCCTTTCCTTTCTGCTCCTAGAGCACAGTGAGCACACATTTGCCATGAGCTCTATTCCTTTGCCATCCCTGTCCCTGAAACATTTCCACATTGCATAGCTCACTTTTGCACTTTGATCAGGTTTCTGCTCAAATGTCACTATCGTTGGACGTGTGGTTCCTGACCACCATGGAAGAATAGAGATGCTTGTCCCTCTCAACTCATATCCCCTACCCTGTTACTCTTCAGAGCACTCATCCCTGTGTAGCATGATACTGTGTTTAGATGCATTTGCCTTGTTTATTTCCTGTCTTTCCACCCTGGATTGCAACCCTAAAGATAAAGGCGTGGTCTGTTTTGTTCACCATTGCTAACTCCTGCTCCTATCCCACCAGGCATACACTGTTCAGTAAATATTTACTGATACATTAATGAATAAGCACATCAGTCTCCCATGACTATAAGTAGACATATGGATGGCTAGTGTAAAAATACACATGAAAAAGACAAAACATTGTTAGTCCTCAAGAAAATGCACTTTAAATTTTACAATGGTATGCTGCTTGTTACCTACTAAAATGACTAAAATTAAAAATTGTTTTATGATTTGAAGACATATGTTATTTTTAAATGAATAAAAAAGAATATTCTTCAAAGAAAGTAAAAAATAATGAGCTGTTTAAACAGCACATAGTATTTGCCCAAATAAAATTATTACATATCACTACATTGCATTCTTATTTTAAAAATCAAGACAAATGTGTGGCCTGTTAACTACCAAAGCATGGCATAACTGATCCAATAATTTCAAGATTAGTAATAATCAATAGTAATATCCCAAATAGCATCAATCTGCCATCAGTTTCAAAAACATTCAGAAAAGTGTAATAAACAATTGATTTAGCTAAACTATGATTTGTACTCTGGTTATATTAAGCACATAGCCCCAATCTTAAAGAACCAGTAATCATATAATAATACTAATTTGGGCTCATCTGTTTCTCTTTTCATTTTTGCTTTTACATTACAATTATAACACATAATTACTTTGAAATATGTTAAATGTTCATTACATGTACATAATTAAGTAAAAGGAACACCTCTCCCCACTACTGTACCCTCACTATGAAATTAAAAACTGAAAAGTCTGACAATGCCAAGTGCCAATGAGACTGCGGAGCAAGTTGATCCTTTATAAACTCCAGGTGGGAGTGTCAATTGACATAATAACTTTGGAAAATGATCTGGCATATTTTAACCATAAATTAACCATATGGTAGGTTAATTTACACCTACCATATGACTCAATAAATCCAATCTGAGGTATTTGCTAAAAAAAAACTAAAAATATATTTCCTCATAAAGACTTATAATTAGACTAGGCATGGCGGCCCATGCCTGTAACCTCATCACTTCAGGAGGCCAAAGTGGGAGGATAGTTTGAGGCTAGGAGTTTGAGACCAGCCGAACCAACACAGCAAAACCCTGTCTCTACAGATAAATAAATGAATGAATAAATAAATAAATAAATCTAGGTGTGGTGGTGCACACTGTAGTCCTAGCACTTGGGAGGCTGAGGCAGGAGGATCACTCGAACCTAGGATGTTGAGGCTTTAGTGAACCATGATAACACCACCACACTCTCTCCTGGGTGACAAAGTGAAACTCCATCTCAATAAAAAACAACTTATAATCAAATATAATCAGATATCATTGTACCTTACAATTTGATGCCCATCAATAGGTAAACAAGTATGGTATAGCCATAAAGTGGAATGCTACTGAACATTCAAAAAGGAATGCACTACAAGCAGTAACATGTACAAATCTCAAGTACATTACACTGAAGGAAAGAACTCAGATATAAAAGAATATTGAATAACATAGCGTTAATATCATTCCATTTGTGTGTAATTTTAGAGCAGACAAAACTGATTTATTGTGTTGGAAAGATCAGTGTCTACCTAGGGCTACAGAATTGAATTCAAAAGATCATGCGGGCAAATGTCACTAAGATGGCAGACTAGGGAAGTCCAAACTCTCATTTTCTCCACAAAAACATTAAATAAACAAATAGAAAATGACTAGAAAAACCTCATACGAGCTCTGGGAAATAATCTGTCAAAGATTTATAGCAAGCAAGCAAATACCCAAGCAAAAAACAAAGATATGTTATTTGAAATGGTAGAAAATTTGATGAAGTTTTTAGTCACCCCTGCCCCACTCTTCACTGGTATGGGGCAGTGTAGTTTGGAAAAACAGTAGCCTGTCTCTCTGCCCTCTCCACAAAATAAAGAGAACTGTGAAGACAGCACTTGCAACAGTCTAACGCGGCTACAGGCTGCCTGAGATATTGACATCTGAGATGCCGACCTCAGAGTCCAGACACCAAAAGCAGCTTGGACCTCAGGCCAGAGGAGGCTGTGGTATGCATCAGGACAGCCTACCTGCAGCTTTCTAAGGCAAGAGATTACTGGCAGAGAAAAAAGAACATTTAAGTGAAAAGAAATTGTGGTAAGACTCTTTGGGAAATTAAGACATTTAAAAACAGCCGTGTATATAGAGGAATGGGGGAAAAAAGGATGCACACAAGCCCAGGAAAGGCATATGCCCAGAAAAGGCCTAAGAACTTAAGCCTTCACATCCTGCTGATTAGTGAAGGTCTTCTCTTGCATGGAGGCAGTTTACAAAGACTTGAAGAGGTAGTTGTTTTTTTAAATGCTGAATTTTCAACAAAAGATCACTAGGCATATAAAGAAACAGTAAAATATGCCCCATTCAAAGGGAAAAAAAAATACCCATAAGATGTTTCTGAGGAAACACAGATTTTAAATTTATCTGAAAAGACTGCAAAAATTGCCTTACATATCCTCAAAGAGATAAAGAATAAAGAAAAGTATAAGGTATAAAGAATAAAATAATCATGAAAACAATATATACGTAAAATTAGACTATGAATGAACAGATACAATAATAGAAAAAGAAGAAGAAAACAACCAAACATCAATTCTGAAGCTTAAAAATACATCAGACTTGAACAAGCAGAAAAAGCAATCAGTGAACCTGAAGACAGATCGTTTCAAATTATTAAGTCTGGTGATTAAAGAAAGAAGAAATGGAAATAAATCCTAAGGAACTTAAGAAACACTGCTAAGTAAACCAATATATGTATTATGAGAGTTCCAGGAAAAGAAATAGAGAAAAGGGAAGAGATATTATTTGCATATGTAGCTACTGGAAATGTTCCAAAGTTGAAGAAAGAAATGGACATATAAGAAGCTCAAGGAACTTTAAGTAGGATAAACCCAAAGATACCCACACTGAGATACTTATAACAAAACGTCAGACAAAAGAAAAATTGAGAATCTTGAAAGCAGCAAGAAACTAATTCATTTACAAGAGATTCTCAACAAGATCATCAGTGAAGTTTTCAGCAGAAACCTTACCTTCCAGAAGGCAGTGGATTTTATATTTAATGTGCTAAAAGAAAAAGCAAAAACAAACGAACAAACTAATCTGTCACCCAATAAATCCATATCCAGCAAAACTGTCCTTTAAAACTGAGAGAGAAATTAAGACATCCCCATATAAACAAAAGCTGAGGGAATTCATCACCACTAGACGTGCACTTCAAGAAATAGGAAAGAGTTCTTTAAGGTGAAACTAAAGGAAACTGAAAAGTAATTCAAATTTGCATGAAAACATAAAGCTCTCTGGTAAATATGGTATAAGGGCACATACCAAAACGAACCTGTATTATGTCATTTCTAATTATAGCTCCAATTTTATTTTTTCTTAGGATTTAAAATATTAAACTATACAGAATAATAAATCTATGTTCATGGGTACACAATGTATAAACCAATAATTCATGACATCAGTAACATATGGGGGATCCAAGCTGTCAAGGAGTAGAGTATTTGTATGTATTTAAGTTGTTATCAATTTAAAACAGTTTTTTCTAACTTTAAGATATTGCATATAAGCCCTATGTGTAAAACATGGTGATATATCATAAAGAAAATACCTATATAATATACACAAAATAAAATGAGAATAAATCAAAATGCTTCCCTGCCAAAAAAAATAATAAACTAAACACAAAGGAAGGCAGTAAAGGAGGAAATGAGGGACAAAAAACTATAAAATATACAAAAAATATATAATAAAACAGCATAGTAAGTCAGTGATTACTTTATCAGCGATTACTTTAAATGTAAATGTATTAAACGCCACAATCTAAAAATACAGATTGGCAGAATGGATTAAAAAACAGCATCCAACTGTATTCCGTATCCAGAAGACCCAGTTTAAATTTAAATGCACGCAGAGTTCAAAAGTGAAAGGTTGAAAAAGTATTTGCTATACAAACAGTAAACAAAAGAGACCAGAGGTGGCTGTGTGATACTACAAAAAATAGACTTTAAGTCAAAACTCTCACAAAAGAATACATGATGTTATGTAATAAAAAAGAGGCCAATTTACCAACAAGACACAAAAAATATAAACACATATACTAAATATCAGAGCATGTGAGTATATAAAACTAACATTGGCAGAATTAAATAGAGAAATAGCCCTACAAGAACAGTAGGAGACATTAGCACTCCACTTTCAATAATAGATGTAACAAACAGACATAAGATCAAT